CATCGCGGGCGTTTGAAGGTGAACGCTGTCGCCTGTGGAAGGGGGACAAGGACGAGGAAAAGGTAAGGTGATACAACTGGAGTAGTCGTCAACGTCAGCGACGGATGTAGCTACCGGTGAAGACGGTGATGAAGAGACCGCCGACCGGCTCCTGGATTGCGATCTCCTCTCGGGAGACTTGCAAATCACAGGAATGAGCCTTATGAAATTAACTGTTTGAATTAGAGTTACCGCTAATCAGACGTGAGATTAGCGGTTTATCTAATTATCGCATCTGCTGCATGAAAAGTACATTAATTAACGCTCAGATCGCTGGAATTTAATGGAATAATGAACTAGCTGGAAACTGGCTTCGAACACTCTGTGTTACGGATTTATCACAAATCAAAATGTAAATATATATCATACGAATGCAAAAGTATATTTTAACGGAAATTAATATCAAATTGCTTTTTAGTTATTAATAAAAAGTTTTAATTTAATTTTGCATTATATTTTTGAAATATTTTTGATTAATAGATAAGTGAAATAGAAGAATAACCAATAATCGATACGACTATTTGTCAGCAAATCGTTTTGTTTTTGTTTTGAAAATAATTCCCCTTTTTAATTTATTATTCCATTCATAATTAATTTAATTTAATTTTTCCTAACGTCATTCTCACTCAGTAAGTTAGAAAAAGGATTATATTTGCGTTTTTTTTCAATCTTGTTGAGTTATACACAGTCGATACTGTTGCAACCTTAGCTTCAACATAAAATATCTGTGCTAGATGACGCTACAGTCCTAAACAACTCCCGGATGGTAAATTTAAAGGAAGTCACCTTCCATTTTATTCCAGCCCTTCGCGGTAAAAATTTAATTTAAATTCGATAAAAAAAAAAAAAAAAATTAAACTGAAAGAACTGTGAGAGCAATTAAACGTTATTTTTGAAAATCGATACGATTATTAAAATAATGCAGAACAATTATAATTAGATCCTCGCGAATTAAGCTTAATTATCTTAATTATTTTGGATTAGCTTCAAATAGCGGTTCTCGTTCTAACATAATTTTAATTTAAAAATCATATAATTTTAGAAACTAAGTAACTTAATAATATTTTGAAAGCTGAATGACCTCAAACACTTTATATTTCTGCCTGAAAGACTCGAGAGAGTCGTTTAAAATTTCGTGTGTTCACGCGGGGGGGGGGGGGGTAGGTAGTGTTCGAATATATCAGGGGCTGCGGGCAAATTGCGCGTGGCTTCAAAATACGCGAAGGCGTATTGTGTGGTTGAAAGCTTTATTGACACTGTCAGGACGGGTACATGATAACAGTCAAGACAGCTTGGAGCACGAGGGCCAGCAGGAGGTCGATTTCTTTGATCGTTAGGTCGTTGGCGGTGCCGGTACCGTTGTTGCATAAATTAGTCTCGCAACAGGCGGTGCAGGCGTAGAGTTTAGTGCGCTCGCCGATCACGATGCATCCGGGCTCGCATTTGTTCGTGCAGTTTCTCTCAACGGACCAGATCTGCGGACTGGAGGTCGAGTTCTCGGTGCTGGTGGTGTAGGAGAACCGCTTCACCTGTAACCGCGCGAACTCATCGTATCATTTTGTTCACAGAAAATTTCGCTGGGAAATCTAATCCGGTCCGCGAAGTTTGCAAAAATTAAAAGAGATATAGCCATAGTTATTTTTAATGTAAAAAGGCTTTTCATTTTATTATAAATTGTTCAACAATTTGTAATAGGATATTAAAACATCGCTCTTCAGCGATGTTTCTGCATAGAAAAATTCAACTTCAGAATTTTCATACAAAGGTCTGTAAAATATAAAAGAAAGCTAGTGGCTTGTATTTTATATATTCTGTGGATATGCACAATTAATTATTTTAAAAAAAAAAAAAAAAAGAAAAAATATTGCAAAAGTATTCGCAGTACGCAATTGTTAAGATTTTAATATATGCATGTATAAGGGTATTAACAAAGATAAAGAAGATTATTATTGTTCTATTTTTAAGTTAATATTTTTAAAAATGCATATCTTTATCTTAAAAAATTAAAATCAAAATTAATTTGAGAGATAGGGAAATAGCGTTGTGTCTTTCTCCAATATTATTTCTTCTATTAGAAATTGCAGGAAACTATAGGTGAAATTCTCCCTAAAATACATCATTTGGCATTTCAACGATTGCTATAACTGATAAATAGACAGCTGTAATTCGGGTTATCTCACGTGCGTTCAACCGCACGGATAGACGCACGACGTATATGTGTGCGTTCAATTAGATATTAATTCGCTGAGATAAACAAGTTATTTGATTTAAACTGTCATAACAAGTTCACGTTAAACGCGCGCGAGCAAATTGCCACAAATTGCCCGAATTCGTTAAAATATCGCTTGCGCAAACTCGCCGCGCAACCATCAGCTATTCCAATTTTCCTCTGAAAGGTCAATCATATTTCTGCGTAATGTTCTATTCTATACGCTACCGTGTAGTGCATATGCGTGTGCATTGTGTGTGTGTGTGTGTGTGTGTGTGTGTGTGTGTGTGTGTGTGTGTGTGTGTGTGTGTGTGAAATTACGATTAAATCTTAATACAACGAACTTGATTTAAACCTACGTTCCGTAGCTTAATCTAAGTGAGGATCGCGCGATTACGTAAAGACGAGACGTACAAAACCTATTTTCACAGTCTTACCATGCAGATCCTCCTATCGTCCGTGCATTTGTGCTTGAAGGTACTGAAATTGCCAGTGTTACCAGTGAGATTTATACATCTCTCATCGCCATCCATTGTGAAGCATTGGTAACACCATAAGTCGTTGGCTCTTTCAGACGCCGCGTGGGTCCGATGCTCTTTTGACATTAATTGACCTGTTCCTATCATAAATGTGCTCTATATTAGATACACGTAAGCTCAATCGATACGAGCTAATCATGAATCAAAACCGATATGTGAAACCGATTAATAAGACGCGCTAGATTCATCTGCAAATGAGTCCAGACGATACATTTGCATTAAAAAAAAATTTTTAAACAACATTCGGAAGAATATAATTCCTACGGCCTGTTGCTCACAGGACGCGTCATGCGTTACGTACAGCGGAAGTTGACGACGATAGCCGATCATACTTTCGCTCTTATGGAAAAGTGATAAATTGATTAGCTATCGCCGCCAACTTCCACCGCGCGTAACGCGTCTTGTGAGCAACTAAGAATTGAATTTTTATATATATGATTATATAATCATATATATATATAAATTCAATTCTTAGTTGTCAAGTTGCATATCAAATTCAAACTTCAAATTTGATATGCAACTTGACATAAAGTATAAAATATCTTATAATCTTATAAACTATCCATTTTTTGGCAAATATATTTTGATATTTTTATACAGAATAATGATATGAATCAATTGGTATAAAGAAAATACATAATTTCATAAAGGATACGATATATATATATATATATATATATATGGTATATTATCTTAAATAAATTGTTTATTTTTTTTTCTAGATTCGCTCGCCCTCAAAAATTCGTTGTGATCTTATTATGTTCGTGGATCATCGGCTATAATGATAAGTTCATTAATCGTTATAAATATATGTATATATTTATACTCTCGAGTGTTACAAAGATTAAGCTTAAAAAGCATGAAATATCACGAATTCAACGTCAAGTCGGTCGACTATAATTTCCCCATTTTTTTTTTATCGTGATTATAACTAAATATAGTCACTATATAATGTCAAACTTATAAAACATATCTAATTTTTTTCTACTAACGCTTTATTTTATCCTTATGCCGAAAATAATTCACATGCACAGGCTAATCGTAAATAATTTTTTATCAGAAAATCGCACATTGAACTGTTCCCCTGATGAAATTTCTCTTTTTTTGCAATATATAAAATTAATATCTTCGAAAGGTTAAATTAATATCCTGGCGGTACGTCTCACTAATGCAATATCTCACGCTCTTATTCCGCACTTACCATTCGTAGCGATCATCATGACGAGCAGGAAACACGTGACAGCGACGTGTACATTCGCGTTCATGTCTCGTGGAAGTCTTCGTCGCTAACTAAGCTAATCGCAGGGACGATCCGACAAGTGGGCGGCTCACATCTTGCGAGATCGCTTTCGCGTGATTTGCACGCAGAACTTACGCGTCAGCCGCGAAAGGTCTGGATGGATGGTCCAGCCAGCCAGCGGCAGCTGGTTCCGCCATGCTGCGTCGACGTCGACGCCTGCGTCACGGCTGCGTCGAGCTTGCTCCAGAAACCTCGAAAGTCGAAAATCAATATTCGCAACCGGCGGAAGGATCTGTCCACGACCATGCTCGACGTCAAAGCCGTTGTGTGCGCGAACCTCGCTGATCGGGACGAACCTGAAAACAGCATCCGAGAACGATCCCCTCGAATCCCACAACCCCCCTCTTCTCGTTCTTCATTATCATCCATTATCCGCATTATGCGATACGCGATCAATCTTAGGGGCGGGCGCGGAGAAACGTAGTCCTGTTTTGCATTGGCGATCGTAATGCTTCGCCGAGCTTTAATCATCGGGGATGATTATCGGCGGGGGGGAGGATAACGCATTTCGTTGAGCAAATAAAAGCGCAAACATTGATGTGATCGATAGAAACCTTTCAGCCCCCCGGAACTTGAAGCGAAACTTCTGGGATCTCTTGTTTAATATTACTAATAGCCCAAAGTCCTTAAGTCCAAGTTCCCTTGAAGTCTTTAAATCTATCTTTTCCGTATAAATATTCTGCTATTAATTTAAAATTTACTTTTTAATAAAAGAGAAAGCGGAAATTGTAATGATAATAAATACTTTTATTTAATTATTCTATTAAAATGCAAATTTTATGCTTTTTACAATTTTTATTCGCTCCAAATATTTAATTTGATATATAATATATAACATATGATATTTTCTGTATATATTTAATATACAAATTTTTAACACGAATATATGTGTTTTGATGCTATTATCAGTGTAAGATAGTGACATCTGGCGTGAAAAGAGGTGATATGTCAGAGGTGATATCAAGTTTATTCTATCCTCGCACACTTAATAACTTAAATAACTTTTGATATTATCTCTATAGTTATTTCATTATATACCTATATATATTATATACCTCTATTTACACAATGCTGTTAACTATAGATCAGCAATAATGGATTTCAAAGGGATTTTCCTCGTTTTTATGAGGATTCTTTTTCTTTTAAAAATTTTATCCTTCATTCCCTTTTTTATGCACAGTCGTATCTTAGACTCGCTGGGAGCATTTGCGTCAGTGAGAATTATAAAGATACAATTTTTTACTTATAACCGCGACTGGCGATTTCTAATATCACAAAGGAATATTTTTGTGAAAAATTTTTCGAGAATTCTCTTTCTTCTTCTCTCTTTCGAGAACACAATTGCTCGTTGTAACGTTAATATATTTATTTCCCGTCGCTTTTTGGGCGATTAAATGGCTAAATATATGGTCAAAGTTTGTTGGAGAACAAATTTCCTAAAGTTTAGAATGTGGCCACATGTGCACTTGGTAGGAAATACTGTTTGCTTTAATGTCTCTGGCTAGTTCTGATCACGCTGAATTGGTCTCACTCATTTTTAGCGGCAATGATCTAACAATGAAAATAATTTAACAATAGAAAGTTCCAATTGACCCACTGCGATGCTTGCGTTGTAGCAATAAGTGTATTTACATCATTCAGATAGTGACAATATTAAATAAAATTGTAAAATATACATTTTTTCCCTTTTTTTCATCAATTTATCATATTTTGATTTATCCAATTTTGATTTCGTTTTTAATGATCGACTTCTTCAATTGGTCACGAAGCTTTAGTTTCTCTGTTGTTAAAATAATTTTTAAGTGTGTTTTAATTATTTTTTATATAATATAATATAATATTTTGGTTATTTAATTTTGGAAGTAAGAATATTACAAATGATATTGTAAGTAATTTTTTACTTCTCAATAATTTTTATTTATCAAATAATTTTTTTCGGAGCTTTATTTTCCTACGCGTATTTGTAATTAAATAATTTGTAATTTAATTTGTATACTGATTTTTTTATCGTACACTGTATACTATTAAAAACTTTTGGAACAACTAGATAATAAATGTTAAATCCTGACAGATAGTAAATTATGAGAAATTAATCCGTAGATTAAATTAAATTAAATTTTTAGATTAAATTTTTTATGGAGCTTTTATAAACATATATTTTATAAGCAATTATAAAAATATACTGAATTACTTTTATATGATGATTTCAAGATATGAGTCACCATTAATATCATATGTAACGGTCAATATTTTAACACATTCGTTTTCGCAGTTATCTATTATTACGTGTTAAAAAAAAGAGAGAGAGAGAGAGAGAAGTAAAAAATTTTTTTCTTTGAGATATAACATCCAATAATTTCAGATGGTATATACCACAGTCTATACTGCACCTGCACATTGCAGGGGTGAATACCCGCAGGGGAATCGATTTCAGGTTTCCCAGACAGCGACTGTTATGACTTTTACCGGCGAACCTCTTTTGTTGTATCAGCGAGCATTGAATCGACGTTCAAGGAAACAAAAACTAAAAGCAAGGCAAATATGAAATGGCCCCATACGTCTTGTTAGAAATAAAATAGAGAGAAACGATACCGATCGAAAGCTGATTTCAGCTATCTTTAAGGCTAATTTTAAGTTATTTTTAGTGAGCTCGATATCAGCGTCTGTTACGGCATATATTTTTAAATTGCTATTATTTATTTAATAAATAATAATATGCGACTACTCATATATAATGATCCTAGATTCGCAATTAGCTTCCTTGCGGTTGTTCGCGGTAGAAAAGTTCACGGTTGAAAGAAGAGGCTTTTGTTCGATGAAGCTATTATGTTTGTAGGCCTCAGTTTCAATTCAATTTACACAAATAATAATGAAGATATCCTTGTCACAGGCAGATCCATAGGTATACGTATGTAAGTCGGCCAAGTAGCGTGTACGATATGACACTGCAAATTGTATCCGTCATCCCCGAAATACCGGATTTCGATATTTGCACAGGGGATGTCAACAACGGTTTACAAATATCGATGACACTCCCTCGTGTCGTGTTGCATGCAGTCGACACAGACGTGCGACGGGGAAGGGAGGGAGGAGAGGAGAGGGGGGGGGGGAGGGAGAGTTTAACGTCACCGAATTTCGTGCGAGAGAATATAATCCGTCTCGTCTTGTATATCCTATCGATCTGGCACGCGCGCGCGCGCGCGCGCGCAGAGATAAAAATGAAGCGCGAATAAATAACGAAATTTGTTGGTCCGAGGGGGCAGAAAATATCTCTCGCGCGGAGGTTTCAGTTTCGCGGTGACGTATCCGCGATGCGCGATCATACGATCCAATTCGCGGTTTCCGAGCCTTGATATATCGCCAGAAGTATCCCCGAGGATATAAATTGCACGAGAGATTCCAGTAACTTTTCCATCCACAGAACTCGCCACGTCGTTCGCGTGAAAGAAACCACTCGATGCCCGGCCGCGACGTGGAAGAGAAATGTCGGGCGATAAGTTTTTCGTAGGTCTAATATCATTTTATGGGCCGCCTCGCCGGGCGGCCATAACTTTCGGACGACGAAGATTGTTTACGGCGCTGAATTTCGTACGGGTTTCACCCTGTTATGTGCTTAAATTAAGGGAAGATATTCCGACGCGCCGACGGCGCGTCTTAACGGCATATTTTGCATTCTTGTAAAATATTGACGGTAGATTGGTAGCCGCGATCTTGGAATTTTTAATATCAAATATTATCAGGGGGTAATTAGATCTTGTGAAATTACGACTCTCTCGAAATAAAATCTCTCTAAACTGAAGGCCTCTCGTCGCATATTTATGAGGCCTACTTTGCCGAACACTTAATTTGTATCGTAAAGGACGTTACACGTTTGGGAAACATCTTAATTTGAGTGCGTAAAAAAAAAAAAAAAAAAAACATTATTTTAATTCTGCGCGCGCTTTTGTAATCCTGTAGCGTCGCGTGTAAAAGTCGTCTCGAGTAAAGCTGTTGTTAATCGCTGTCTTGTAGCGCGCGTTAGAATTAATCACGATGAGATGCAATAAACGACTGTAACTCGCGCTCGATCGTGGGTGTGCTAAAGATTCATAATACGCTTAAGCCTCGCAAATCTACCTAGCACGATAAACGTTCAAGCCTTTTAAGGGGTTCCTGTAGCTGGATTGCATCCGCAGCGATGCCGTTGCCGCGTTTAACAATCACGTAAAGTTTCGATTGCCTCCACGCGCCGTATTGTCAGCGACAAATATCGCGTACATAGGAAATTCCGCCGCTGTGGCGGAAAGCACTTGTCAGATCGCTTTAGAGAGTTGTGCAAATATATAGAAGTGGCCTCTTTGCACACTGCGTTGTGCGTACTTCGTTACGACTTGTCTCACGACTCTGCGACTCTGCGAGGGATGCAAAAATCCCATCGTTCTTATTGCGTGTCGCACGTTTCTCCCGAAAGAAGCGAAAGAAGCTGCGATTTTTATTAAGATATTTATTACAAGATGAAACCTCCCTTTGCCACTTATTATTACATTTATGACTATGCGTTTAGAAATTAGTGTAAAGAATATTACGTATTACATAAATTTAATTAGAGTATCTTAATGAATTTAAAAAGAAATTAATGAATATTTAATTTTTACTTGTGTGACATTAAATAAGAGCTCTCGATATTAAAAATGCTTTTTCCCTCTTTTCCGCTCTTTTGCCGGCGGTATATAGAATAATATATTTTTATCTCGTTTTTTTAAAAACTTGCGCGATTGATATAAATCACTACAAGCATTTGTTCTGGTTCCGTAACTTTTCATTTATTATAACGACCTTCGATTGAAGATTTCACGCCTCATCCCTCTCCAGTTCTTCTGCGTGTGGTTACACCTTGAAATTGCCGATAAAATATATTTCGTGTCGATATAAAATATAAAAGTTTGCGTTTTTTAATATTTACGACCTTCGATTTCTGAAACTTTTATTCCCTTTATTTTCTATTCCACGTGTACTCACACCATCGAACGATCATCTTTCTTGAAAGTTGATATGTTGATGTAAGTTGATGTAAGAAACATTTCGAAATATCTCTCATAGCTGATACAGGATACAGGAAGATTTAAAATAAAAGAAGATATTTTATTTTTTATATTTCAATTTTAAGACGATAGTTTTAAAGGATTATCAATAATCTTCAAATTGCTAAAACGCTGAGAATAAAATCTCAATTAAGATATATTAGAATATGTCAGATGTAATTTAAGAGTGTAAGTCACATTTTAATATTAATGTTTCCAATAATTTTTAAATGGATGAATAATTAAATTTTTTTTAAAATAAATTATTTAAAATTTATAATAAACTAGATATTACAAACGCGCACTACGCGCGCGCTATTTAACTTTTTCAATACAAGAGCAAAAATTAATAGTATTATACTACTGTTACATTATATTTTTTAACTTCTTGATACACAATTCAAAATTCCTCGTTGTGAAATCAATATGATGACAGCTATTCTTATGTCACGAAGTTTGCGCAATGAGAATCAATCAGCATCGAAGAAAAACGTAAACAATAAAGAAAAAATTCGAGAAAATTTCGAGAGGTGTGGGTATCGATGTCATGCCATTTTTTTTTAGAAAGGATCCGTTTAAATTTTTGATGACGATTGGTCTTATAACCTCAAAATTGTGATTAAATTAATGAAATACTCGAATTTCAGAAACAAATATGGCAACGATCTAAGACAAAATTAAATAAAATTACAGGACGTAGGAAATAAAGATATAAGTCTGTGCAAGTGTTGATATCTTTAAAATTTATTTCTGGTTACAATGTCACATTTTATGTGCTGATAAATTTTTTTGACGCCGGGACCATAAAACCTTTCTTTACTCCGCTATAAAGTTATTCCTCGTGCACTTTAACCCGAGCTTATTATCGCAACGCGTGGCAGAAGAGTATCGTATTACAAAATACAATAACAGCATTATAGAATTATCAGCTTACTACGTAATAATGTAACGTGTACCGGGGAGCACCACATTACAGAACATCGTGTTACATAATGTAAACGATATCTCGACGCGACGGAGTTTAGCTTCTCCCCGTCGACTTTTTAACTTCAAATTTGCATGCTAAAAATAGAGGTGAAGTAAGTCGGCGTGTGAGTATTTCGTTGATATCTCTGCATATTTTAAAACTTTTTTTATTGTAGGATATGCATATTTATGTCGCCCGACTCGGAGTTAACGTTAAACATCGAAGCTCCGATTTTTTTTCGAGCCGTGCCAGGAGTCGGTCGACATCCGGTTTTCTCCGAGTTGGCTTCCTCGTTGCTGATTGCACAATCAATTTTCCTCCGATGAACTTCGTACGGTCGACCGGCTGGTATTATTAAATTATGCTTCGGGGTGTCAGTGTTTACGCCGAAGCAACACGTGAAAACAGTTTCTCCGTCACCGTCGCCGCCTCCGCCGCCTGTCCCACGGTCCACCACCCTCTGATGCGAGTCGAGAGAGCCACCCCTCGCCTCTTCCCCAGATTCAGCGGAATGTATATAAACGACAGGAAGGTGCACGCGTCGATTGGTCGGGCGAAACCCGGTCGATGGCGAGAGGGGGCGCCGGGTCTTTCGCGAGGCTCGCGTAGTGCCGCTCTGACCACCGTCGCGGCTGGGTTTACCATCGTTCCTGATAAGATATCGCCGCGATCGCTCGCACAAAGATCTATCGATATATGTAAGACTAATCACCCCTCCCCCGGGACGACACCGAGCCGCGATCTCACGTCGTTATCGATCGCGCGATTCCGGAGATCGCGAGATCTGGCTAAATTCTGAAGGGGGCGAACGATCGTACGGGGAGCGATCACGATGGGGAGGATTATTACGATCGTGGAGGAGCGACGTGTGGTATAAGGGTGCCTGGCCTAGGGCATAGGTGCAGCAGGGCCTGCATAGGGGAGATCGCGGGGTCGTTACACCGAGGAGCCGACGCCGCCGGAGCGGTGCGTGGCACCCCAGGCGAGGGATCGACGAGCTGAGGAGCGGCAGGGTAGTAGTGGTGATACCCGTCGCGGGTGGTGTGCCAGCGAGTGGATCGCAGTCGGACCGTGAATGCGGCCGCGTTAACAAACCCCCCAGCCATCAACATCGCTTCGCGGCCGACAATCCTCCCGGTAAGTGGGCTCCTCTTTGCTTACTCGTCGGCCACGCCGAGCCGTGTGTGTTTACCGCTGTCTCATCCCCCGAGCCCGCGGTGGCTTCAAACGTCCCGCGACGTCACGGGGCAAATGGGGAGTGACACGGTGGGCACGGGAATAGAGAGAGATTTCTCCGCGAGCCCTTTCGAAACCTTCATTCCGCCTCTCCGTGCCGTCTGCTTCTCCGTGCCTAATTGGCTCGGGATAAACGGTAATGATGGGCGACGGATATTTATACGGATATATCTCGCATTATGCCTTAAGGCAGGAACCCTTGAGATATTCGATCATAACTTCATAAGGCACACGGCTCGTGTTACTAGATATATATCGCGAAACTTCTGTAAGTGGAGATCAATTATCTCGGATTTGCTCTCGGGGCCAATTATTTATCTCGCTTGATTTATGAATTCATGTTTAACGTTATACTACTACGGCAATTAATATACGGCAATCCAGAAAGAAATGAATTCATGCGAAAAAAAGCTTCGCACTGAAAATGTTATGTAGAGACAAGCTTTCGCTTAAGTAGAATTCTCCCCCGGGAATAAGCTAGGCTAGGTCGTATTTATTGGCGACGTAATGGAAAAACTGTGTAGATTGCTATGAGTCTCCCCTAGGTCTGTATTCTCTATTATTTATATCATAATTACTGACTCCATAGGCGGAATTGAATTTATATTGTTTCGTGAGCTTCATTATTAAACTGGGCATTTTAAAATTCATAGAAATTAAATGCGATGCACAGAATCTGCCAAGTGTCGGAGGAGTGAATTATATGAATTTATTTAAATATAAATTCGGCATCGACGGAATAGAGTTTACCGCTTCTAAATATTATTGCATGCAAATTAATATGGCAATTAGACATGTTTGGTAGGAAACAATGTTGTTACTTGCATATGGAATACACGCGCATTACAAAGGACATAAAAAGCATTAAAAATATCGAGTAAAGTTTTATTAAACACTATTCTGAGACCCTTTTAAGTTAATTTATAGTCAGACTATACATTGAAAATTGAGAATTGCGCGCTGAGAATTAGAATTAAGAAGGACTAACCAGATAATTAATTCTAATTCCCTCCGCTCTGATTGGTCGATTCTTCTTTTCCTCTCAATTTTCAATTCGCAATCTGACGCAGCTCCCATTCTGGGTATATTTGAATTTAATATCTGTTTCGCAATTGAGAAAGAGAATACTTTAGCCGAATAGCTCGTCGCCATCGGCAATTTTCCTAGATTTCCCTCCGAAAATACGGCCTTTCGAAAACCCGATCGCGCTTCCATCAGCGACGGCCGACGCGGATTATCGACGAATCGATAAAATCTTGGCTCGGTCGTACTAATTGACAATTACAAGCCCCGGCAGGTTTATATAGCTGCGCATTCGCAGCGAATAGCGCAGCGAATTGCCCACGGTAATTTCGGTCTTCTGCCACGGTGCTCTAAATGAAACGCTTTGTATACGGTAGTTAACCGTATAGAACAGGCCAATGGAGGAAGAACGTGAGCGGTAGCAAACTTCCAAACTTCCTTTTCGTCTTCCCGAGAGACACTTGATCGATGCGAACAAAGTGCAGTTTTCATCAGCGATTTCTAAATTTAGTCGGAAGTCAAGAAAAGTAATATCCAAGTAATCTCGAAGTGCGAAAAGGCCGGCGAGCGATGCGACGTCAGCGATGCGAGTCAACAAGAAAATAAAGTGTATTTATAAATAATTTCATTCATTTGGAGTCTTCACTTTACGCTTGATTTCACTGCAATTCTTACCGAGTGAATTTTACTTACAGACTACTTTTATAATCAAATCGCGCACGCGCGGATTGAAACAGCATTAAATCATTCCGTTAAGTCTTTAAAAAATGTAATGGATTATAGAGAACGAAAAATATAATTTTCCTCAATAGAAACATACAACATTGTTTCAGTTTATTAGAGTTTTCTCCACGTTATTACGTTAATTTATATTTTATATTACGTATATTTATATTTTAATGGTGGATTATTATAGTTATACACAAACTATTACTATATTTATATAAATTGTATTACTATATTTTTATAAATAAAATGTCCGCTATATTTCTGCACTTCATTATAGTATTATAATAAGTATTAATAATAAGATATAATCAAATTCAACTTTGTGAGTAATTTTATCATTTTAAAAGTTTGATCATGAAATATTATTCGTTATATGAAACGATTGAGAATCGCAATGATAAAATCGGCCATCCTCTTCAGGTACTCCGGAAAATGGAGGTGATGTTGGCAGATATTTCCACGATACATTATCTTTCTGCAATGAGATTTTGATCAATTACATCTGTAACGCGATTCGCTGTGAATTTGTTCTCAAATGAACACTCGAATGAGTGCTTTGAATTACCCCATTCACCGGCAATTATCGCGAATGTGCGTTGAGAAATTTTGCTTAAATTGATTCAAACGGCGACTGACAAAAGAGATTTAATCGAGTCAACACTATTATTAAAGATCAATCGCGTCGTATCTGTAATAAAATACAGACAGATGCATATAATTACATAGAGATGCACATAATTTCTTTCATCGTGTCCCGTATGTATAATATTATTAACGGTGCATCGATGATAACAAAAGGAATTTTAGATGACGAATTGAACTCTGACATTAATAAACGTTTAACCAGTGAGAGTTTAAATTTGCAGAAGCACATTATTACGTTATAAAAAAAAGACGAAAAATATAATTTCCCCAATGTACGAGAACATAGGATGAAAGAAGAATGTTGAT